CCCAGCACCCGCTGTCAGATCTCCCCATTAGTTCTCTAGCTTTGAATTGCTCCCAGCTCTTTCTCTTTCCTCCCCTCCCCATGCCCACTTGCAGGCAGGAAAGGAAAGGGAGACAGAGCCATGCTCAGCTCTCCGCTTTTCCAGCCCTCGCTTCCTCTCCTAACATTGAAGCCTCGCAAGTGCAGGTAAAGCCACCACAGCGGTAGCACCCTGACTTGCTTGCTTCTCCACTACTGCCTCCTCCTCCTCCTCCAGCACCTCCTTCTCTGGGTAGGGTGATTCTTACTAGCTGAGTATGCTAAGGCAACTCAGGGTACTACCCCTGCAGTGGCTTTGCCTGCATCTTCGAGTCTTTGATGTTGGGAGAGGTAGCAAGGGCTGGAAGAGCTGAGAGCTGTGCATGCCTCCATGTGGCCATGGGGGGAGGAAAGAGAGGCGGGAGCAATTCAAATCTAGAGAATTAATGGGGAGAGCTAACAGTGAGCGCTGGGGGCGGACGTTGTTGCTGCCGCTGCCTGTGTGTGGGAGCTGGTTGGTGTGTACATCTCAGGGACCTTACTCTGGGGTCCCTCAAAGAGCCAGGAGGCGGAAGAATTGCACGGCCCAGATTAATTAGTTTTGGGGGCCATTTCTTCTGTGGCCCGCCAAAAATTTTCCTTGGCCCACCAGTTGGCAACCACTGTTCTAATTAGAAAACAATCAAGACTGCTTAAAACATAAAAGGCAGTGGTTGACAAATACAATTCCACACACATTTGAGTCAGTGCATTTTGTAGCAGAAGTGCTACAAGTGCTCAACACATTACTTAATATCTTTCCTAGGAATATGTGCTATTGAACTTAGAGGAAATCCATGCACAGAAATTTACTAACAAAGTGTGTATGCTATTTTTCAACACTATTTCCCCACTAAAGGCCTGCATGCCAAAACAAGTTTAACATATTCTGTAAAATCCTTTTCAGACATAGATAGACAATATTTGGTCATAGCTTTTCTGTCAAAATTATCGTGATTGATACTGATGACATAGGTAATTACTTAATTTATTCTGAAAGGAGAATTGATTACTGGATCTTAAACAAAGCAGAATTTAACTGAGCAGCATGTACTACAGAAATTAACTGCAAGACCTTCATTTGAACAACAGACAGTTTATTAATGAGACATGCTTTTCAGAAGAGAACAAAATAATTCAAGTGAGACTAACATTTTAAGAAGCTAAGTTTTCTTCTGACTAGCTGTACTCAGATTTTCCACAGAGTTCAACATATGTGTGAATCTTGGATACATCTTTGGGATTTAAGTATTTTTTGCCCTAGTAGTAGCAAGGAAAAGTTCCCAGTTTGAAAAGCCAGGCTGCTTTTTGAACTTCCTAACTTTCAATGAATACAGTGGAACAAGGACCAGCAAATGAATAGGTGCCAAGAAGCCCCTCTCCAGATAAAGGGGAGAACTGGAAATTATCCATAAGTGTCCCACATAAAGGCTATTTAACAGACCATAAAATAGCAGTCTTCAGCAGGTTTTAGAACTCTGGAAGCCAAGGGAGTCAATTTTGCCCAAGACACATCTGAGCACTAGATTTGCTTAATCATATCTAGAAATGGCTTATTAATTGCTTTTTGGAAATTAAGAATCATCAGAAATGGACTTCCGGTTTGTAAGGCTTCGGCGGTGGAAGGAATCCGCGATCGTGCACGGTTTCTGCTGCAGTCGCCACTGGAGTGCCCCCGATCCAGCCGGATTTGGGGGCTAATAGTTACCCCATAGAGGTAACTGAAGACAGGGAAGATCCAGCAGGGGTCCAGGAAATCGCAACCCCACTCCTCAGCTGGCTTAATTCCCTTTTCCAAAAGCAGTGGAGCGGCGGTCAGCAATGGCCACCACAAAAAAGCTTTCATCCGGATAAGAATGTGCAGGAGGAAGCTGAAGAAAGTGAAAGTTCTGGCTGACTGGGATAATAAGTAGCATTTAAATACCCCGGAATTTAAATTTCATTAAAGATACATCATTCCCAAAGAAGATTGGAAAAAGTGGCGAATGAAAGTTAAAAGGGAAAGTTTGTTTTTTTTCACTCTCCTTCCTTACGGTGACAGCTGTTGAACGAGAAATTGGAAAAACCCACTTTGGCATCAGCAGGTAATTAAACTGAAAAGTAAAGCCAAGGGGACAATAAAGATTTCTGAACATTGGAAAAAAAAACTTTCTTCGTTATAAGTGGGAAGGGAGAGGAAAATAATTAATATTAAGATTTTGCTGGAGGAGGCTGCTTGGAATTTATAAGATTAGAGCTAAATTGTAACAAGACTTCTAAAAGATACATTTTAAATTGGAACTTTGCAACTGAACTGTAACCCCAGGAAGAGAAAGTATAAAAAGAAGAAAGTGCTAAATGAAACAGTCTGTGTGTATTTGGATTGCTTGGTGACTTTGGGACTTTTTGAAATTATTATTTGAAAGACTAAAAACATTTGGGTTGTTTAAAAAAACTTTTTTTTACAATGGCATTACTTATCAATGAACTGAAAATGGAATTCAAAAAGTTAAAAGAAGAGAAACAAGAAGGCAAGGGCTCTTCTGGCTCTGTTTTCCATTTCTTAGAAATGGCGATTTCTACCTATCAGAAACTACAAGAACAACAAGAAGATTGGGATGAAGAAGAAGCCATCTTTAACGAACAAGCAACTCTAGCTGGGGAAGAAAAGGGAAAGAGGGGAAATGGAATGGAGAATTTAAGACCTAAAAAAAACAACCAAAAAAGAGAAAAATAAGGTGAAAAATTGATACAATGTTAGAAAGCAACAGAAAAGAGGAACACAGAAGAGGGTGAAGATCAAGACGGTGTAGATCAAGAGACAAGGGGATAAAAAGGCTAGATTGGAGATAAAGGGAAGGGAAAAGGGAGAAAGAAGTTACAAAGGTTTGAAACAAGATGTAAAGAAACAGGATTTTTTCAGAGATAATGGGTAAAAATATAATTAAAAAAAAGATTCTGCAAAAGTACATAAGATTGTATTGTTGTATTTGTATTTGAAATAATGTTACAAAACTGGAGCATTATATGATTATAAAATGGGATAAAATGTTAAAAGGAATGTGTAAAATGTTTAAGACTTAACGATAGAGTTTAATTTGTTATGGATTATTGTTTTAATTATATTATAAACTTATTATTTTTTCTTATTTTAAAACATAGTATGTAGCTTTAGAATGTACTAAGCAGAATCCAAATGAAAATTATATATTATTTTAAGTGTTAATTTTAGGGGAAAGATATAAAGGCGTCATACTTCAATCAGTGATTACAGGAGAAATTTTGTATTAAATGAGAAAAGATAATAGATAATTGAAACATAACAGACAAAAGATATAAGCATAATGATCTAAATTGAGATGAAATAAATAAAATAGAATTAAGAGAGTGAAAAGAGAGAAGCTATATAGAAAATGTAGAATGGTAAATAAGATATGAAATGGTATATAAAGTGAGCATGAATTAGAATTTATGTCTGTACAAACAGATGTAATCCGGGATTAAGCCGCTTTCCAAAAAGAAGTTTTATATTTTCATGTTTTGTGTTTTGTTTGTGTATGTTTGTTTATTGAAAATTAATAATTTTTTTATAAAAAAAAAAGAATCATCAGAATGACAAGTTTCATTATACTGGGTGATTCTCTATCAATCCATAGAAAAAGAAGTTTAAGATCTTATTTTTTAATTCTAGAATAAACAGAAAAAAGATAATTAGTCAAATGGGAAATTAGTCTGGAATCTCTACATGGGCACAAGAGGGCAAAGTTTGACCCCTCCCCCCTTGAATGCTATTAATTCTTAACTAGACTTACCCTAGGGTGCAAATGTCACTCTGAGAAGGTTCCTATGTATACGTTTGAACAACAAAACAGCTAATTGAATTTTTCATGTGTGTCTGGTTATTTGTACCTGACAAAAGCATGATAAAAGAAGATTTTGAAGGCTGAACACTAGAAGTAATCAGTTACAGTTTTACACTCTGACATTCATAAGTTCATCTTCAGTTTAGTTATATTTACTTGAAAAAAAAATGAGAACATGAAATATTTAATGATACTTGAGCAGGCATTATAATGCTTAAACAGCACCATTTTGACATATGAATCTAGTGTATGATGAATAGCCCATTTGAAAAACTTACTACCTGCATCACTCACTATCGAGAAAATCAAGCAGATTAAACTCTGGGAATTAAGTATTACTTCTAGGTAGCTGTAATATTTTGTGATAAAGTATGGGGCTGGCTTAGATAATAGGCAATAGCTAGAAAAGTTGTGTGTCATCTTTGGAAGCCATATTGAGATCCGATGCTTCCATGCTGTCACAATTGAGCCTGGGAAAGTGGAAGAGGGGAATCCGTTGGAGTATATCTGGTTAGACATAACATTCTTTTTCTGATTCAAGATCAGGTTGTGTTGTGCGTAGTGAAAAGAAGTCTTAAATTGGGATGGATGATGATTGGGCCATGTGATGTGATGATGGATTTGTAGTTTTTAATTTATTGTAAGGAAGCCTGGAACTTTCAGATTCAGGATTCCACAGGTGTGCCAGTTACTATCCAAATAAAAGGAACTTTTGAGAGATGTCTGTCTCAGAGTTATTGGGTGGAATGGAGGTTTGCTGGAACATTGACACTGTGTTTGGAAACCAAGCAAAATTCCTTTCTTTAATGTACATATCTAGGATAACCAATTTTAAGCATTTAGAAAACATATCATCAGTATTTTACTATGAATATTTTAATATTATACATAGTTTGTATGATTACTATTAACTGCTCAGGCTCTTTGAAGAATACAGAAGAACATAAATTACATAAAAATAAATAGGGTAAGAGTGGTCCATCCATTCATTCCTTTGATAATGTTTCTAATCAATCAAACAATTTGTATTTTCACCTTTTTTGTAACATCCCATCAGGCAAAGTCTGAAAAGGAATTTTATTCAGGTTATTTGGATTCAGAATAAAATCAAGAGTCAATTTAGCCTAGTGGTTAAGGCTTTGAACTAACAAACAGAAGATTGGGAGTTCTAGTCATGCCTTTGGCATGAAAGCCGGCCAGATAATTTCAAGTCAGTCAGTCTCTTTCAACTCATAGTGTCAGGCATGGGCAACCAATACCTTTCCAAACCAATGGACCTGACCTGACCTTTGCAGTAAAAATGCTAGGAAAAAGAATTGGGTTGGAAACAAAGAAACAGAATATGTCTAATTGCCTAAGCATTAAGGCATACGATCTAAGAAAATGTAATTAACAATTATAAATTAGTAATAAGAGTTGGAAGAGTTGGAATTAATTATCTGGAATTTATGTGCGGTTCCTTTGTCTTTGTCTTTATTTCTGCTATAGGATTATACATTTTCCCCTTGTTTGTATAAACATATTTATCTCAGTGTTCACAAGATATGCTCCAGGCAGCTACAGCTGAAGTGTAGTTCTAAATTTTGGATAAAATAATAATAGTAATAATCCCACGAACATTTCAGCTTCATCAACTGAATATATAATTAGCAATCTTGCCCTGTAGCATTTCCTTGTAATTTCAATTTTGATCTCATGAAGGATTGTTTGTTTGCAACAGTTAAAATAGCCTTTGTGCTTTGTTTCAATATCCTTCCAAGAGTTTTAATATAATCGTGCCGGCTGAGAATTTCTAGGAAGTCAACCTGGCTGAGGCAAGTTCTGATTCTGGAAGAATAAATTCTTGTTAGCACCTTGGAGAGCTCATTGCTGGAAGCTGCAGGCTGGTTTTAGCACTCAGTCAGGATCTGCATTTGTAACGAATCATCCCATCTGGCTTATTCCACTGAAACATTTGAGATGGCTGCATTCTGACTAAATACATTTCAATCTTCCATGTGTTGCTGAACCAAGACTCGAAATGTTCTGAGCATTTTGGCCATAGGGAACAATGGAAACACTAAAGAAACTTCATTTTGCTAATATAGATAGAGTTTTGTTTCATGCTGAATGATACCAGTGAGTCAGCTTTGCAGGAGGGTTGGGGGTGGGGACTGGCAAAGAAAAGAGAATTAAAATACTTTTGAAATCTCCCATTATGGATGCATTTGTTGCACTGTCTTCCTAAGCTATCTTGTACCTGAAGTTAAATACTGATGTATTGTACTACCTTTGCCTTAGGGGTAGGTTGGTTGAAAGGAATGCAAAAAGAGATTACTAAATGTTCTCTTCCTACCTTTTGAAGAATCAGATACTTTAATCTCTCACACACTCTCCAAGGAGGAGAAAAAAAATTCTAGCCAGCCTATTTACACAGTTAATTCTTTCAAAAATGTTTTAAAATAGAGCTGCCTTAATCTAAGTTGTCTATGCCTAAATGTAACCTTGCAGACAACAAGAGACCCGAACTGTCTCTTCTTCCTTTCCTTTTTTTTAAGGGTTAAACTGCAAGATCCCCTCCACTTTCTTCTCTACCTCCTTCACAACCTGGCTGCCAAAAGAAAAGCAACAAGAAAAAAGAACGTCAGTTTCTACCAAGTAGAATGAGAAATATTACCCAAAGACAACATGAGCTGCTGCTTGGGAGAGATGCCCAGAAAAAGACCAAAAAAAAAAAAAAATCTTGCCTGCCTTGTGACTTGTAATCATGAGTTATGCATATACCCTTGTTGATAAAACAATTCATCTTTTTTATACCTGAAATATAAAATGAATCAAGAAGCTATAGCAAATGGGTGAAGTGAGAATTTTAGATGTACCTCTGCAGTAGGAGTATGGCTTACATCCATGCAGTGGTGGGCTGCTACATGGTTGCATAGGTTTGGGTGAACCTGCAGTTGTGATCAATGGCTGAGCCTGTCCATCCACCCTTGTGCTATGCTTTCCATATATAGCTAACTTTCTGGCTTGTTCCCCATGCTGCCCAGCTGAGTTCTGTGCCACTCCTGTTGTACTCACTGAAGCTGCCTGAGTTGATTAGCTGCATGTTTGAAGCTCAGAATATTCAATATTTTGTCTACTTTATAATATACAAAATAATAATCATTATTTTGTCTACTTTGATTTTTTGGGGGGACAATTGTAAATAGGAAAACCATTGATAGCTGTCCCTCTGACCTAAATTCTCTTGATTTTATTTTGTATTCCCCTTGATAGAATTCTAGTATCTCATGATATGTTAACCATTTGTATTTCCTGACATTGCTCATCTATAAAATGCTTCTTGTACTGAGGTGTTTTTAGGCCCTATCTGGGATTTGTATCTATTCCACATTCTAGTTTTTAACACTTTTCAATTGTTCACTGATGTATCTCTATACTCACCTGATACATACATGCATATGATCTGTTATACATGGAGCCTGCATGTGCACAACAAACCTTGTCTTTCCCTCCACCTCCATCCCATCCTCCACCAATCCCATTTTCAATCCGATATCAGTTTAGTCACTATAACATTTATGAAAGAATTCACAAAAGTTTATGACTTTTGATAGAATGTGTGTGTGTGTGTAGATAGATAGATAGATAGATAGATAGATAGATAGATAGATAGATAGATAGATAGATAGATAGATAGATAGAT